GAGAGAGAGAGGAAGGGAAGCAGGCTCCCTGCTGAGCAGAGAGCCCGATGCGGGGCTCGATCCCAGGACCCTGGGATCATGACCTGAGCCGAAGGCAGAGGCTTTAACCCACTGAGCCACCCAGGCGCCCCTGATTCTTAATTTCTAAAAAGCTTATAATATAGTGAGAAAAGTGACATTCTCATGAAAATTATGTAGTAAAGGGTAGGTAATACATGATAAATGCTTAGCCAATACTGCAGAGACAGTAAGATCCACAGAAATTATTGAAATGTAAAATCAGTGTTGTCACAAGGAGGTATATTTGTTGAAGAAATGAATAAGATTACATATAGATAGGATGATCAAGGGAGGCCCTGTCTTTGTCATATGTGATTCCTAATGAAGCAGAAGCCTCTCTTAGCGTATCATTGGCTTTTAAGAAATGGATTTTCCTCTAATGATTATTTAAAACATCTTAATCCCCTAGGGTCTTTTCCTTCCTGTCTTACATACATTTCTGTAAGGATAGAACTTTGCTTTTTGTAAAGCTTTTACTTGGCTCATTTTAGGATGTCCTGGGTTGAGTTTAAGTTAGTGGCATTGATTCCTTTAATCTTATTGAAATATTTTGAGGGAACACCAAGTTTTTCAAATACGCTGGTTAAAACTACAGATAAAATTTTTAAGTACTAGAAAATGGATTAAGTTTTTCTGTTTGTGATTTATATGGGTAATAGTATTTCACAAAGCAAATTCCTCTTACTCAGGATTGTTAGCTGTTTTTTCACACAGGCCTTTCCACAATGCTTTTCCATATAGACAAAACTTCCATTTATACTAAACCATATAAGGCAGTAGAAAAAAAGAACACTTTGAAATCTCAGTTCTGCTAGGCTATAAAATGAGGATATTAATATCTTCCTCACACGTTACTATGAGGATTAAAATGAGAAAATGTGAAGATTCTGACAAAGTAAGCACTCAGTATTAGCTTTTTTGATTACTTCACACTCTTACAAATTAGTGTTACAGCATAGGTCTTTAACCATGGCTGCATATTAGAATCATCCAGAGATCTTTCAGTGAAACACTAAGGGCCCCGCCCCACCCCAAGTTAGTTAAATCTTTGTGGGTGGGCCCCAAGCATCTGGTTTTGTTTGCTTTTAGTTGATGCGTGGTAGATATTTAGAACCACTGGTATAGAGGGAAGGACTTTACATATAACCATTCAAGGAAACTTTCCTAAAATACTTGTTTCTGACTACTTTCAAAGGTGAAAAAAAGTTGAACTTCACAAGTGTAGCCCCCTTTTTATTAGAATCTAAGGATTAGGGAAATTAATATCCTTGAAGTCACAAAGCTGTAATAATGGAGTACTTAGTACTACAGTTTCTTGATTGGGATTTGGAATTTTATACTCTTCTAGAAACACGTTAAATACTGTGTTACATTCTGAGACTAGGTAGACAGGTAAGAATATAACAGTACCATCTCTGAAAGACTTCTTTCATTATGTACTTTTTTTAAAGCATTAAAACTTTTATAAACCATGTTGTTACATTTTTAAGCTAGCCTATAATAAACTTTGATATCCTTAAGAGCTGAAAAGATTGTGTGTTTTGAACTTTTAAATAGCTTAATAAATATTTCATGTCAGAGTCAAACTATGAGATCTTGGGGAAGATTTCTAGATATTCCTAAGAAGGAATATTTCAGTTCTGCTCTAGTATTTTCTGAAGGTCTTTCTGACTGACCGGTTTTAAATAGCTTCAGAGCAGAGTGTTACACCTCTTGGCATTTGTTACAGTCCTAGAATTCACTCCAGAATTTCATAGTGTTTGGAAAAAGTTTCTGTTCCCCTAGCCCACAGGACCATGAGTTATTATATGAATAGTTTTTAGTAGAAATAGAGCTACTGTTTACTACAGACTTTCTATATAACAGATCAGTTCTAAGCAGTTTACCTAATGATCTCCCTTAAATTTTCACAGTAATCTAGTCAGTTAAGTAGACTGTTATTTTAAGCCCATTTTACAGATGAGAAAACTGAGGAACATAAAGTTCCTCACCACCTAAGTGGCCTGCCCAGAATATAAACTTTGTACTTCACCTTTTAGTTTTTTAGCTTTTTGCCATTCTGTCCTGTCTGTAAAGCACTTTCAATATGTAATTTGTAGATCTTTGTAGCCATAGTAAAAGAACTAGAATCACTGATAAAAGTCCTAATGCAAACTGTTTTTTTTTTTTTTTATTTATTTATTTTTTTTTATTTGCATTTATTCTGTGCAAATTTACTCCCGGGCCATAAGTTTTTGTTTCTTCAGTTTCTTCTGGGATATCTTTTTCTTCTGTGCAACCTCCTCTTCTGGTTTAGGAACAATCTGCTCTTTTTCAGTAAGGATCATCTCAATGTGGCAGGGAGAGCTCATGTATGGGTTAATCCGACCATGAGCCCTGTAAGTCCTACGCCGCATCTTGGGGGCTTTGTTCACCTGAATGTGCTCAATGACCAGAGAATCGACATCTAAACCCTTAAGTTCAGCATTACTCTCTGCGTTTTTAAGCATGTGCAGTAAAAATTCAGCACTCTTCTTGGGCCACCGACCTTGTGTCCAGCCCCACTGTTTGGCCTGGGCACACCTACCAACTCCACCATTGTAGCGACGGAATGGCACACACTGCTTCTGCAAAGTGACGTCTTTCAGATACTTGGTGGCTTTTCGGATATGCATACCCTTGATGGCCTGGGCAGTTTCACGTGTGTTCTTAAAGTGAACACGGAGATTTGAACCTCTTGACTTGCATGATTTCGTAGGGTTTTCTGGGTCAAGCGAATAGCGAACCATGTTCAGAGGTCACCTGGGAGGGGGAGGAATTCCCTGGCCGCTGAGAGGAAGAGCAAACTGTTGTTTTTAATGCCTTCTTTTGTCCATAGGACAAAGTTTGTATCCTTTACAGGTCTTTCTTCATCTGGCCTTTAATATAGAGAGCTTCTTTATAATCCTGTTACATATTCTGTGCTCTAGCCAGTCTGGACTACCTAAACATTCTTGAATATACCTTGTGCTTTTCTCTGACCGTGCTTTGGGCATTTGATTGTCTAACAGTGACAAATGTGGCATATATTTGGGGTGAGATACAAGGGCACTGTGCATCCCAGAAATTGACTCTATAATAGTGATACTTAGTCTTGGCCTCAGTAATTTTTTTTTTAAAGATTTTATTTATTTATTTGACAGACGGAGATCACAAGTAGGCAGAGAGGCAGGCAGAGAGAGAGGAAGGGAAGCAGACTCTGCCGAGCAGAGAGCCTGATGCGGGGCTCGATCCCAGGACCCTGAGATCATGATCTGAGCCGAAGGCAGAGGCTTTAACCCACTGAGCCACCCAGGTGCCCCTTGGCCTCAGTAATTTTAACACTTAGCCATCTAACCATAATGTATAGTCAACACATTTCTGATTTTAGTAGTTTCAAGGACAGGGAAAAGAATATTGAGGCTAGTGACTAACTTTGACACACCTCTAAAATGCCACTAAAACTTATAGAACCAAAACAGTTACACTTTATCTCAAATCTTCCGTAATCCTGCCCCACCAGGCAATTCCTACAGATAAACATTTGCTCCTGTTCTATATTCCTTTCCCTGAACAGATTATGTAGAGTTCTAGTCTTTCATCTCTGATCCTCTATTGTTTCTATTCCTTCTCATTTTTAACTCAGCAACATATATGAAGCACTCAAGTTCCAAGAACTTTTTGCATAGTATGTTTTTCACCCATGTGAAATTTTGTTTTTAGAGATTTTATTTATTTATTTGACAGGGAGAGGGAGAAGCAGGCACTCCATTGAGCAGGGAGCCTGATATGGGGCTCAGTCCCAGGACCCTGGGATCGAAACCTGAGCCAAAGGCCGACGCTTAACAGTGACCCACTTAGGTGCCCGCCAAGTGAAATTTTTAAACTGCCTTTAAATCCCAACTGAAGTGTCACCACCTAAAGAATATTTTCCAGTGTCCTAAGAAGGGCCTTCTTATATCTGTGTTCTTATATCATTTTGTATTTCCTTGGTTTATGGCACTTACCACACTGTAACATAACAAATTGTTTGCATCTGTCTCTCTTACCAGACTGTGAGCTCCCTTGAATTATAAAGCTACATTTTATTCAATTCTCTGTCCCTAGAGAACCTGAGACAATGATTCAAACAAGCAGGTATTTAGTACAAGGGAGTTACATCACACGTGCATTTAACTTTCAGGAATTTTATACTGCATGCCAAAAAGAGAAATAATTGAAATAATCAGCCAGTTTCACCTGTCATTCTACCCAGTGAGTATATACCTAGTATTGGACACATAATAGGGGGTATGAGTCTTGCTCCTTCAGTTTCTGTTGCCACATGCCTCTCAAAGTGACCGTCTTGTCAGGCTTGAGTGTGATTCTCCTTTTGAAGATATTTTTCATAAATCATACCTCAGATACAAGCCCATCACTTCCACTGGTACTTTTTCTGTTGATGGAGGAAAAGCCATCTGTGTTGGATTTGAGAGATGGTGTGTTGGTCTCCAACATAATGCTTTCCCTATTCACGGTAATTTTGACTAGACTGACTTTTACTGTATACTCAGTGACTTTAGAAACTGTTTATAAAAGATAGGAATGCCACTTACAGTTTTCCTAAATGAGCAATCTTCTGTCTTTACTTTGAGTTGTTAAGAGTATGTTTTTATGACTCAAATGACATTTTTGCTGTTTATTTCTTAGCTGTTTGTTCATGTCTGATCTCACCAGTTGGAAAGTAAGGATCATATCTTTATACCTTTCTGTATATGGCATACAACCTATAGTACATACTTACAAAATAAATAGACATTTTTACATGCTTTCATTATGCTAAGGTCTAAGTGAGAAATAACCCAGAAGCTCTTTTAACTTACCCATCCCAGTGGTCATCCTCTTTCACTTGATACCATTTGCTAAATTTTACCTTCCAATTACCACATTTCTTTTTTCCACAGCTCTTCCGACGTGTTGCAGCGGCTTTGCCTGGAATGGAAAGCACACAGGATAGAAGCAGAGAAGACAGTATCCTTTTTGTTTCATCAGATAATTTTATTATTAACTAGTCTTTAGAGCTCCACTTGGTTAGCTAAGGAATATTATGCTATTGCCTTTTACAGCCAGGAATTAATGGCTTAGGAGCGTAGAAACTCCAGGGTTTTCTGTGGCAAAGAGATCTGGTGATTCAGGTCTACCTTTTGCAGCCTGCTGTTCACTACAGTTAATCAATGAGAAGGTGTGTGTTTATGTGCTTGATTTTTAATGAACAGGAAACTTAGAATCCTAGCCCTCTGCCTTTAATTTTGAGTCCTGCTGGCTCTAGGCTTTTTCCCTGCAATATATATTTTATTTTCCTCCCTTGCTTTTTCTAACATTCAAGCTTTCTGCTTGGCATAGGCAGGAAATAACTCAGTCTGGTTTATCGTGGCCTCTGTTTTCAGAAAGACTAGGACATAGTGAAGTACATCTAATAATAGTTATTTTAAAGGATTTTTAATTTTAATATTTTAATTGTTTTATATTTACCTTTAGTGTTTTTCCATATGCATTTTTTAAAAGATTTTATTTATTTATTCTTCAGAGAGAGAGAGAGAGGGAGCACAAGCAGGCAGAGGCAGAGAGAGAAACAGGCTTCCCACTGAGCAAGGAGTCCAATGTGGGACTCGATCCCAGGACCTTGGGATTATGACCTGAGCCGAAGGCAGCAGCTTAACCAACTGAGCCACCCAGGTGTCCCTCCATATGCATTTTTATTAAGCCATAGAAGTCATAGCATTTTGTGTTCAGCTTTCCCCACTGCTAAATGTTTGTTTTCTAAGCCTTTATTACTTTTTTTTTTTTTAAAGATCTTATTTATTTATTTGACAGATCACAAGTAGAGAGAGGGGGAAGCGGGCTCCCCGCTGAGCAGAGAGCCCGATGCGGGGCTCGATCCCAGGACCCTGGGACCATGACCCGAGCTGAAAGCAGAGGCTTTAACCCACTGAGCCACCCAGGCTCCCTGCCTTAATTACTTTTAATAGGATAACATGTTCTGCAGAGTTGAAGTCCCGTCATTTATTAAATTCTCTTTGCTAGAATTCTTTTGTAGGCTGTTTTCAGATTTTCATTATAGATAATCCCATGAGGAGCATCATCTTTTACATGGTTTCTTGCTCCTGTAAGTTCCTTAGAACAGATTCCCGTGAGTAGGGCTTAACCTTATTCTGACCCTTGTTGCATCTAGTAGATACAGGCAAGTTTATTTCATTTGAGCACCTCATACAGTGAACTAGCTATATAGGAAATAATGGCTGTATCTACTGTGTAGCCAATAGGAATGGAAGGGGCTTGCAAGAGTTGTCAGTGTTCAGCCGAGTTAGAATTGTACTTTCTCATTTATAGCTCCTTAACTTTTGTCTCAGTGATTGACATAAAACTGGAAAAGCCTCAGGAGCAACCAGTCAGTGAAGGAGGCTGCTCCTGCTAATCCCCCGTGGCATCTTTAACTTTTCTCCAGAAGCTCACTGCTTTGGCCCCCTTACTCTTTCATTGACTGCAGTGTGAATATTGGCTTGAACCTTTTCCCTTCAGTAATAACGTATTGCAATTCATCATTGCTGCCTGTCTCGTGGAGATGATCTATTAGCTTCACAAGCACAAAAAAGTTCAGTGTCTTCATTATTTATATTTTACAAAAAGCCAAATGATTACAACATACTCCAGTGATAACTTTAAAAATTAGATACATTTTCTCAACTTTTTTTTTCCTTTTCAATGTTAATGATAATGTACTTCAAAATGATGGAAATTTCAACAGTATGTGGTTTGGTTAAGGAGCAGTTGTTCATAGCAGCACTTGCCTACCAACTTGATCTCTTTCTGCTTTTCTCACCTCTCCCTTACTGTATTCCCTGTTCTTACTCTCTATCAAAACAAATGAGGTATGACAAAGCAGCAATCAGACCAAGCCCATTGGATCCTTCAAATTTAGCGATACCACTTGTTCTAGCCTTGGACCAAGATGTCCAAAAATATTATTGAGCAGTGATATAAATTACTTAGACTTTATTTGAGGTCAAAACTCAGCTATCATGAGTAGGCAAGTGCTTGGATAAGACGGGTTCTGTTGCATCTTCAAAATGAGTCCTAATGAATACACTGAGTACTTAAGTCAAGTGAACGTAAAATGTGTTTCAGACCAAAACCGATGACCCTTTCACATGTTAGTCTCTGGGAGAGAAGGGTAACACTATTCAGAACATGTTTTTAATACTGAATTCTTCCAGTGAACTATTTCTCCCAGGATTTTAAAAATTGTCAAGATAAAGTTATTCTCTTTGTTTAAAAAAAGAGTGGGGGAGAAGAAAACTTTTGTAAGCAATAGATTTCTCTGGGGTTTTCTTTCTTTCTTTCTTTCTTTTTTTTTTTTTTTTTTTTCCCCAAAAAATGCTATGCAGTCAAGGTGCTATAGGAATCAAATTCCCTTAAGAAGAACCAGTGGAAGAATTTAAACTTGGCACCTTGATCAGAACTATAATAACCAGTAAAAACAATGATATCTAAAGTTTACCAACAAAAGAATCCTCAACAAAATAATAAATACTATACTTTGCTCAGGACATTTGAGGTCAGATTGAAAATAGAAACAGTTTTCTTATAAGCCCCTAGAGGCAGATCTGGATAAGCATACATAGAAGAGGGAAAGGAGAGAATGGAAATAAAACTCAATATTATGCAGATTTATGCCTTATTTTTTAACTTTTTTTTTTAAATGTTGGGTCTTTCAGGCTGGTTTTGCTTTTTATTAGGTCTGTATAGTTCGGTTAATTAACCAGTGATTTAGTTTTATATTTAAGCTACAGTTAATCTTTTTTCTTTGGTGATATTTATTTCTTTGCCTTTTTTTTTTTTTAACTACTTTCAATTTTTAGATGTTTTGTCCAGTCTGTTTAGAGCTTCATTACCATGGCAATATATATTTCCCTTAAAACACTGTAAAGAAATATACTAGGAGTGCACCATTTTAATCTTTACTAGTTATTGTGAGATTGCTGTGTAAGTTAATAAACACATTTGTAAATACATTGTTTGCAGGAAGAAAATTTCTGAGTTACAGCTCAGGAAAAGCCTGCTGAATTTACGTTGTAAGCATTACTTAACACAGTATAAGGATGAAAAGACAACAAAATTCATACTTCTTCATCCCCTCATTGCAACAAAACCCTTAACTGGGAGAACCTTATTCCCCTCTCTTTCCTCTTCCTTCTCCAATTCCCACTTATTGTCACCTTATAATATTCAGAGAGCACTTGGATTATGGGTCTGAATAGAGAAATGCTTTCAGATAATCGTTAGCCCACATACTAGTAACTTATACTAAAAGATGGGATGGAGTTGTAAAGTGCTTTTTATATAATACAATATTATTGTTAAAGGCAAGGGTTGACTCTTCTGTTTTATTTTGACATGGCATGTCCTGAAATAAATATCAATTCAATATGGCAGATGGGTCATATTCTTTATTTGGAAGAAGTTGTGATTTCTGACATGGGAGTGATTGTCTTCCTACACTGTAGTGTATGACTCTTTTTATGTATCTTTAAAACAGTAACCAGTTATGCTGCTTTTTAATATTGGTCCTTTTATTTGGCTTGGGGTTCTTCAACCGAAGCAGTGAAGTGTGTTCATAGTCCAGATTTTTTTTTAATAAACAATTTTGCTGCCAAAAATATATAAATAAAACACAAACAAAAACAATTATTGACTTGGTTTTCTATTCCTGCCAAGGTAGTAAATTAGCATGAGTTTCCTACTTCCTCCTTAGAACTGTAAAGGGAACTTGAAATCCAGAAAAATAACAAAACAACAATAAGAAGAAACCTGTGGGGTTTCAGCTATTCAGAGTAAGAGAGTGGCTGCAACTTGAAAGACAGGGCCACTGGTGGAGGCAACAATATAATATATTAAGAAACCTGGTTTACATTCTGCTTTTGCCTCCTCCTAACCCACCTTGGCATAGGGACAGGGATAGCAAACTATTGCCCTCCCACGAAATCCAACCTTTTACGTGTTTTAAATTAAGTTTTATTGGAACTCAGTACAAAGGTGGAGTTCAGTAGTTGTGACAGAACTTACTGCCCCAAAAGCCAAAAATATTTACTGTCTGGCCCTTTATAGAAAAAGGGCCAACTCTTGCCTTGGCACAAATGATAGATAGCTGTTTCCCTTACAGAAAGGGAGGCCACAGGCCAGACTATTGGTACAGATGTCCACAGAATAGGTACTGGCCAGCCAGTTTCCCCAGGTCTTGATGAATATTTCTTAGATTCTGTGAGATGGCAGTCTCATACTAATCTTAATGAAATCTGGCCACACCCTTCATGTTCTCTCCAGAAATTAGTTTTCTTATTCTTTCAATACTGATAGGCTGAGAATTTTCTGAATTTTGAATTTCTGCCTCCCTTTTGATTAAGAATTCCACCTTTAGGAATTGTTGAATCATTACTTAGTGTTCATCATGAGAAGTATACTCTGAAACTATTACTATATGTCAGTTACACTTCAAATAAAAAACAGAAGTAGATAGAAATGCAGAGCAAACTTATTAGAGGGGGGGATAGGCAAAATAGTTGGATTAAGAAATACAAACTAATTGGGTTATGGACATTGGGGAGGGTATGTACTATGGTTGAGTGCTGTGAAGTGTGTAAGCCTGATGATTCACAGACCTGCAACCCTGGGGCAAATAATACATTATATGTTAATAAAAACAAAATATGTTAAAAGACAAAAAAAAATACAAGCTCTAAGTTATAAAATAATTCACAGGGATGAAAAGTATAAGGTAGGAAATTATAGTCAATAATATTTAACAACTTTGTATAATGATAGATGGTAACCACATTGGTGAGCATTTTGTAATGCATATGACTGTTGAATCACTATGTTGTACACCTGAAACATAATAGTGTATGTCAATTATTCTGCAGTTAAAAAAAATCCCACCTTTAAATCACTTTTCTCTTTCATTTTACTGTAAGCATTCAAGAGAAGTCAAGCTACCCCTTCAACGTTTTGCTTAGAAATTCCTTCAGCCAAATATCAATTCATCATTCACAAGTTCTACCTTACAAAAAACTAGGACATGAACACAATTTCAGCCAAGTTCTTGGGCACCTTATATTAAGGATAGCCTTTTCTCTGTCAGAGACCTCATCAGAATGACCTTTCCCCTCCATATTTCTACCACTACTTTGGTCACAACTGCAAGTATTCTCCAAGATTGACACTTTTCTCTACAGCTCTTATCTTCTCCTGAGCCATCAGGAGAATTATCCTTAACAATCCATTCACCGCAATCAATGTAGGCTGTTTCTGGCATGCACCTCCAAACTCTTCCAACCTCAGCCCATTACCCAGTTCCAAAGCCTCTTCCACATTTTTAGGTATTTGTTTTAGGAGCGGTCCCACTTCTTGGTTCCAGTTTTTCTGTCTCAGTCTTTTCGGGCTGCTCTAAGAAAATACCACAGACTGGGTAGCTCATAAACAGCAGGTATTTATTGCTTACACTTCTGGAGCCCAGAAGTCCAATGAAATTAGGGTGCCAGCATAGTCATGAGACCTTCTTTGGGTCACAGACTTCTTGTGGTATACTCACATGGCAGAATGGGCAAGAGATCTCTCTGGAGCCTCTCTTAAGTCACTAATACCATTTATGAGGACTCCACCCTAGTGATTTAAGGACCTTCCCAAACCCCACCTAGGAATGCCATCTTTGGGGGATTAAGATTTCCATGTACGAGTTTTGAGGTAGATAAACATTCAGACCATAACACATGACATTTACTTATATCTTCAATTTCTTTCAGTGGTGTCATAGTTTTCAGCATTCAAGTCTTTCACGTCGTTGGTAATTAGGTTTAATCCTAAGTATTTTACTCCTTTTGGTGCTGTTTTAAGTGGAATCTTTTTCTTAATTTCCTTTTTGGATTGTTCAGTGATAGTGTGTGAAATGCAACTGATTTTTTTGTTGATTTTGTATCCTGCAACTTTGCTAAATTTCTTTTATTAGCTCTTACAATTTTTTTGTGGAATATTTAGGGCTTTAACATACAGTTGACCCTTGAACAATGCAAGGTTTAGGGGCATTGACTCCTCTGCAGTCAAAAATCTGCATATAAGAAACAAGTTTCGGCAAGGATGTGGAGAAAAAGGAACCTTGTGCATTGTTGGTGGGAATGCAAACTGATGCAGCTACTGTGGAAGACAGTATGGAGTTTTCCTCAAAAAGTTAAAAACAGAACTTACCCTATGATCCAGTAATCACACTACTGGCTAGTTACCCAAAGAATACAAAAACACTAATTCAAAGGGACACAGGTACCCCTGTGTTTATAGCAGCATTATTTACAAGAGCCAAACTATGGAAGCAGCCTAAGTGTCCATTGATAGATGAATGGATAAAGAAGTGATATGTAGGGGCACCTGGGTGGCTCAGTGGGTTAAAGCCTCTGCCTTTGGCTGAGGTCATGATTCCAGGGTCCTGGGATCAAGCCCTGCATCAGGCTCTCTGCTTAACAGGGAGCCTGCTTCCCTCTCTCTCTCTGCCTGCCTCTCTGCCTATTTGTGATCTCTGTCTGTCAAATAAAATCTTAAAAAAAAGTGATGTATGATATGTATGTGTGTGTGTGTGTGTGTGTGTATACACACACAGTAGGATATTACTCAGCCATAAAAAGAATGAAATCTTGCCATTTCCAACAAATGGATGGAACTAGAGAATAAAATGCTAAATGAAATTAGAAAAAGACCGATACCATACGATTTCACTTATATGTAGAATTTAAGAAACAAAACAAACAAACAAACAAAAACCAGGCTCTTAACTATAGAGAACAAACTGATGGTTACCAGAGGGGAGGTGGGTGGGGTAGTGGGTGAAACAGGTGATAGGGATTAAGGAGTGCCCTTGTGATGAGCACTGGGTGGTGTACAAAATTGTTGAGTCACTCTGTTGTACACCTGAAACCAATAGAACACTATGTTAATGAAACCGGAATTAAAACAAGTCTACATACAACTTTTGAGTCCCCAAAAACTTAACTATGAATACTGTTGACCAGAAGCCATACCAATAACATAAACAGCCAATTAACACATATTTTGCATGTTGTTTTGTATTATATGTTTTAGTCTTACAATAAGGTAAGCTAGAGAAAAGAAAATGTTAAATTCATAAGGAAGAGAACATACATTTACAGTACTGTACTGTATTTATTTGAAAAAAAATCTCCATGTAAGTGGACCCATGCTGTTCAAACCTGTGTTGTTCAGGGTCAGATGTGTGAGAT